AGAAACCACACCTGGACCATAGAAACTACACCTGGACCATAGAAACCACACCTGGACCATAGACCTTCACATTTTCCATAGGAACTACACCAGGACCATAGACACTACATCTGGAACAAAGAAACTATGCCTGTACTATATAAACCACACCTGGACCATAGAAACCACACCTGGACCATAGGAACCACACCTGGACCATAGGAACCACACCTGGACCACAGAAACCACACCTGGACCACTGAAACCACACCTGGACCACAGAAACCACAGCTGGACCATAGAAACCACACCTGGACCACAGAAACCACACCTGGACCACAGAAACCACACCTGGACCACAGAAACCACACCTGGACCAATCATTCTGTGTTTGTTTCTCCCTCTGTCCTGAAGGCTGCTCATCCAGAGTCTGGTTCTGGTTCCTCTGGAGGATTGTTCCTGTTAAAAGGAAGTGGTTTCTTCCCAGTGTCTCCAGCGTGCTGCTCAGGATGAGAGCTCATGAGGAGGTGAAGATTCATCTCAAGCTGCTTCCTTGGCTCGATAACTTTTTGGGTCTGGCGTCTGTTGAGTCATAAATAAACTGAATTCAACTGTAAGGGGCTGAACTCTGACTCGTCTCCCCTCCTGCCTCCGGTCGTCTACCTTCTCTAATCGAGTTCTGCTCAGGAGGCTGAAGAGCTGCAGCACGTAATAAGAGTCAACAGAGAAGTGTCAACATGTGACCAACACGACGGAGACGAGACGAGCATGCAAAGACACGACGGCATTGTCCTATTAGAGACAAATCCACAGCGAGGCCCAGAGTTACGCTGCGACACAAACACGGCGCTGCCACTGACCTTGAAGCTCCAGTAGTTTGGTTGTTGCTAAGAGGAAGAAAAACAGAGACGGGAGACAGAGGAGGGGACAAGGAGAGAAGACAGGGTTGAGTGAGACTTTTGTCCTCACAGAGCGAGCTGTAAAAAACTGCACAGCAAAGTTTGAGGAAAACAACACGAGCTGGTGAGAAGCAGAAACGTGCTCCTCCTGTGAAGATACGAACAGACTCTTCTCACGCAGCTTCAGGACCACTCGTTTTGCTTTCATGTCCAGTTTCCACGTTTCATGTTGCATAAATGGAAAAAAATTAAAATCGTAAAAGATAAAAAAAACAAAAAAGTTGTGCTTGAACTAGTTATGAAGTCTCTCAAACCTTAAAAATTATCTTTAATTTTTTTTATAACTTTGCAAAACTTAAAACTGGTGCAAACACTTAAATAATTGTGGGTTTTATTTGACGTCCGACTGTAATAAAATAAGAAAGCGACGTGTTATTTATTGTAACAGCTGGAGTAACTTGCTTGTCCTTCATAACCGATTTTAACTGATTGTCAGCAGCGACTCGAACGTTAAGAGGTTCAGTTTTTAACGAAGCAGCTTCTAAAACGGGCCCGTGGTCTCCTGCACGCCTGGACCCAACTGCACGTTTAAAGCAAAAACTGATGATTAAAACGCTGCAGGTTTCAGTTCATGTGGAAGAAGCAGCTGCTTCGCTCAACGCTCTGGTTCTTTGAGATGAACTCGGCCGTTAAGAACCCAGAAAGGTTTCGTTCTTTTTACTTGAACCAACAGAAAAGCTCATTTAGTTCCGTGAAATAAAAGGTGAAAGCTCGAGTGCAGCTCAGATCAGTAACTCCATCATTTACAGCCACATATATTTCTCTCTGAATGAACTAATTACAGCTCAGCGCAGACAAAAGGCCAAAACATGTGATTTTAATTTAGGCCTATAAAGATAAATGTTTTAATAAACGTTAATTTTAGACAAAACTCCTAAACTCTGACTTATTAGCAGCAGCTGGATGAAATGTGGCGCCAACAGCAGAACTGAGTCAACAATGACCACGTCGAGTAAACCAGCAGGAAGTTTTCTGCTCTGGAGCATCCAGGTGAGCGGTAACACAATGCCAGGATGGAAAGACATCAGCAATGACTGTTAGAGAAGTAACGGCTGCTGTCCTTCAATACTGAAGGGGTCAAAGGTCAGTTAAGAGTCCATGATTCTGCAGGCAGAAAGAATATCAAGACAGCTGACAGGAAATTCACCTGACCAAAGGGTTCTGGAGCCAAACTGGGTCCAACAGGACCATGATCCCAAACACAGCAGATGATCTACAACAGAGCGGGTCAGAAAGAACAAAACCAAGGTGCTGCAACGGTCCGGTCAGTGCCCAGAACCTCAACCTGGCAGAAGTGCTGTGGTGGACCTCCAACAGAACTCTCAGCGATGGGAAGAAGAGTGGGCCAGAACTCCTCCAGAACCAGGAGAGACTGAAACAGAAAACAGCTGAGAGTTCTGCTGCTAAAGGAGGTTCTACAAGCTGCTGGGTCAGGAGCTGGAACCAGGTTCTGTTCAATAAATGAAGACTCTGTGGAACCTGTTGTGTGTTTTTATTCACTCGAGGTCAGATTTTAGAACCTGGTGAAGACCTGATCAGGTTTTTTATGTCCCAGTACGTATTTTGCAGACTGGGGTGGTGGTTCTTCTCTGGTGTGCTCCAGTGACAGGGCGTCACTCTCCTCAGCCTCCCAGTAAGGTCTATTCAGGGGTACTGGAGAAGTGAGTAAGATCGTTGGTTGAACCCCAGATCCAGGAGGAACAATGTGGGTTCTGTCCTGGCCGTGAAACACTGGACCAGCTCTTTACCCTCACTAGGGTCCTCGGGGGTGGGGGGTCATGGGAGTTTGCCCATCCAGTCTACATGTGTTTTGTGGACGGGGGGTGCTGTGTGTGTGGGGGGGATTGGGGGCCCGTTGCTACAGGCTGTTCAGTCTCTATACAAGTGGTGCCAGAGTTTGGTTCTCATTGCTGGTAGTAAGTCGGACCCTTCAGGGTGGGAGTTGGACTCCTCCAGGGCTGCTTGTTGTCACTGATTCTGTTCAGAACTTTTAGGGACAGAATTTCTCGGTGCAGACGGGGGGGTGGAGGGAGTCCATTTCTGTGGCCTCAGGATTCATCTCTGCTCTTTGCAGATGATGTGGTCCTGCTGGCGTCATCGTGCCGTGACCTTCAGCTCTCACTGGAGCGGTTCACAGCCGAGTGTGAAGCAGCTGGGATGAGAACCAGCACCTCCAAATCTGAGGCCATGGTCCTCAGTCAGAGGGTGGACTGTTCTCTTGAGGTTGAGGGTGAGGTTCTGCCTCAAGTGGAGGAGAAGAGGCTGTGGAGAGAGATGTCTGGACCTCCCTGCTCAAGATGCTGCCCCCGAGACCTGACTCTGGAACGGATGGATTGATGGATGGATGGATGTAAACCAGTGGATTTCCTTATTTTCCCCATGAGTTTGTTGTAAACGTACATTTTTAACATTTGTTCTTTTGAAGGTCCTGTTGGCCGACTCCCTGTGCACAGAGACAGTTTGTACAGGTGAACAGTTTTAGACAAAAGCTCATAAACCACCTGTGGGACGAACCTGAACCCAGACTTCCAGGACCAAAACTCCCTTCAGGTTCCACAGAGAGAAGATCTGAAGGAGGTTAAACTCCTCCAGCCCTTCACGATGCTGATAATTACAGAAGGTGAATCCAGCACTCTACGTGGCTTCAACACTTTAGTTGCAGCCAATAAAACAATCTTCCTTCCTCTGTAGATCTTCTCAGTTCAATCAGCTCGACGTGCTTCACACACCTACAGCAGATCGTGTTACACACTTTCACTCTTAGATCTGGATTTTAGCATCTTTAACACACAAGTCTACAAATCTACAATAACTATGAAGAGTTTAAACAAAAGTCTGAATAATCTGTATTTCTGCAAAAAGAAAAAAATAAACTGTTGCTAAATATTCTTTGAGTTTATACTTTTACTGCAGACTTCTCTGAATTCAAAGAAGTAAAATATCAATTTGAGCAAAGCTGGACTGAACGTCTTCACGCTGTGAGCTTTAAACATCTCCTCCATCATTAGGTGGAATTTTTAGGTGCAAATTAATTTTAGTTTGAGCAGCTGTTCTGGGATCAGCTGCATTTTTAGACGTTTCGGCTGTGAAGTCGAGGATAAAAGCTGCTGCGGCCCAGATCTTTTTAAGTTTTGTGGGACAGAACATTTAAACCCGATCCGATGGTGCCCGGGCTCAGTCTGCTTTAATAAAACCAGTTTGATCAAATATTTAAAGTCTGTCTTGAGCTAAAAGCGTTCTCGTGTGGTTAATCTTTAATAAGCAGAAACAGCTGAACAACCTCAGGAACCGTCGAGTTTTTCTCTGCAGCTTCACATTCAGAGATTTTATCCGGAATGACTCGGCAATATTTGGATCAAAATTCAGATCGAATGAATGAAATGTTTGTTTTATCAGGAGCAGACTGAATCTTCAGTCTCTCACTCAAAATGAATCATTTAGCTTTAATTCTAAAAGCAAACCGGGTCCAAACACCAGCCCAGTGAAGCACGGTGGTGGCAGCATCATGATGCGGGGGTGTTTTCAACAGCAGGCTTGAAGAAAACTGAACACAGATCTTTAACACGGCGAAGGTCCGACACAGTTTGTTGTATGAACTGTGCGTACGCATGAATCCAAGCACACCTCCTTTGTCCGTCCCAATCAACGTGGAACTGAGCGCACATGACAGAATACCTGACTCCTCCCTCGACACGCCTCCATCTAAATATGTAAATAGATTTAAACATGCCCTGCACCTGAGGAGTCTCCTCTCTCCATCTATATGGCTATACGCAGGAAAAAACAGGAACTTCATGGAGTGTGAGGTGAAGACGTTTCTCAATGAGGCGGAGGTCGTAAAAACATTTTGTTTGTCTCGCTGTCCTCCAGCGCCAAGCTAAGAGGAGTGACAGGGACAGTGCGTGTGAAGATGTAAATGCTGTGAGGTCAGAGCAGCACACCCACAGAAACTAAGACTCACCAAGACACCCCCAACCATGCTGTTCATTAGAATGGAGCGTTGAACCAGCCACCTCAACACAACGCTGGTTCATTTTGTGCATCACATAATTTGCACATTGAAAGACGATGCTTCCTGTTAAACATCTGTTCAGCTGCACTGTAGGGATTTGATATTCCTCGTTGACATACGGATCATTCCATCCCACACAGCTGGAGCGGCTCGGCTCGGGGTGGACTGGCTCAGTCCTGATCGCTCTGCCAGCTCCCTCTGGAATGCCCCTGTTGCTATAGGAACCCCAGTGTGGTCAGCAGCTGCATGTGTATGTACACGCCGTGTCCAGGACCAGCCGCAGCTCCAAGCACAGCTCATTGGTCTGGGGAGCCTAAAACAGCTGATGAGCCGGACGCCATCGTGGGCCAGAAAATCCTCACGTCTCTAAATCCACGCTCTCTCTGCGCTCTCGCCAGACATGAAGTTGGCGTGGGGCTGCGCACATTCCCACGTCATTTCACTCTTGATACAATTGAAATTTTGCGTGAAAAAGGGTGCACGCTACGACTTGTGCGTACGCACCTTCCTTGAGGGCCACTGTCCTGCATGTTTGATTCAACGGTTAAAACATCTCCACGTTCTGCAGGAGCCGTTGAATCATCGACTCAGATCGTGCATGTTGGAGCAGGGAAACATCTAAAACATGTGGGACAGTGGCCCTCCAGGACCAGGACTGGACACCTGGTATAGACAAATGATTACTCTTTAACGGCTGTGGTAGCTCGGTGGGCAGTGCCGCGGTCTCGTAATAGTGAGGTTGCAGGTTTGAGCCCAGGGTGCACCAGGAAGGGTGATCAACATAAAACAATTGCCAAACATTTCATGCAGATTGTCTTGAGGTGGTGACCCCTGAAGAAGGGGGCAGCTGAAATAAAGTTTATTGATTCAGATCAGCATCAGGAACATCTTGACCGGGACATTTCTGCAGGACTTAATAAAATATACATTTACAAAACTGTTTTTACTTTGTGGTACAGAGTGTTTTATGTTAAAAAGAACTAACTCAAACGAAGACTTTGGACGCTGGATGCCCTTCCTCAAACAACCACAGACCACCGAGCTACCACAGCCCTGTGTGTGGAGCAGAGCGCTGACATCTGGGGCGCACAGGGGAGCAGCTGGTGGGGGTTAAGGGCCTTGCTCAAGGGCCCAGAGTTGGGCAAATTAGGGTGGAGGCAGGTGTGGGTGCTTCACCTTACCCACTTATATTTTGATGTTGTCGTCCGAGGGATCGAACGGGCGGCCGGTGTTAATAGAATAAACTATGGTAGTAAAATACTTTCTGAATCATTAAATGTGGTTTCTGCTTTGATTGTAGAACAAAAAAGGTCAGAGAAAACTCAGGATCAGCCCGAAGACTCTGATCTCACTCCCTGCTGCTTTGATCAAATAAAGCGTCATCACGGGTTGTTCCTCGGTAACCTGCAGCTGGTTTCACCCCCTCAGCTCTGGAGCAGTTCCACTCCGGAGCTTCATAATTACAAGCCGACAACTGGGGAGGGAAACGAGCTTTAATATTACCAGACGTCTCAGGTCCTCGACTCCATTGTTGTCACAGAAACAGGTGATAATGGAGAAGTGTTTATTATCGTGAATATTTCAGCGACCGCCGGCAGCCGGGCTCTGAGGAATCACCTGCCGCCTTGTTCGTTCACCTTCAGTTAGGAACATTAACGACAGACGGACCCTTTCAGGAACGTCTCACCTAACAGAAACAGCCAGCCCCACCCCCGTGGACTCTGACTCACATGCCAGTGCCTGCAGTTTTTCCTCGGTCCCAGAGCGAGCGCAGAGGCAGGACCGCTGAAGGTGAAGAGGAGCAGAGGACCTGCATGTGTGACCCACATGCAGAGGAGCCATCTTTGTGCCACCCGTCCTCCTCACCATCAGTCCGTCTTCATTCCAACATGTGACCGGCGTGTCCCTCACACGTCTCCTCTGAAGCCAAAAACAAATGGCTGCGGCAGCCCCGACACACCTGACCCTCACCTGCCTGCGTGGACGCAAACGGACCCCTCCTATTAAAACCAGACCCCCATCATTAGGAGGAGGAATCATCTCCTCCAGCTCACACACGACAGGTAAACACAAACATCACATCACCTTCCTGGCAGCGTCACCTCGGAGGAAGCAAAGAGTTTTACCGTTTCCTCTTAATGACGGAGCATCTTCGCGCTCCACATGCCTCCCTCATCTTCCTCCCCTCTCTCCATTTTATCTTCCTCCTTCCTGCTGCGGCTTGCTGGATTTTCTGTGCCCGGAGGATCGGGCAGAGTCGCCCCTCGCTGATGGTTCCCGTAGTAGCGCCTGACAGGGACCAAGCACGTCGTCCTGCCCCTCCTCGTCCTCCTCCTCCTCCTCCTGTCTGTCACTCCCCCACCATCCCTGACTGAAGCGATGAAGAAGCCCTTCCTCCTCTCCCTCGCTGTCGTTTCCTCACACTCAGTACAGCGTGTTCGCTGCCAGCCACATGATATCACCAGCTCTCCTTATATGGGGAGCAGCGGGTTGCCATGACGACAGCAGACTCCACCTGTTCCTCCACCTTCTCTCCCACCTTTTTCTCCATGAGGAGATGGACGGTTCCGATGGAACCTGAGTGGGAGGAAGAGGAAGAAGACGAGACGGACAAAAAGCCGCCGACTTTAAAATATAAACATTTCTGAAGTGCGGAGCGAGCGTTTGTTAAAGGAATGCTTATCGCCCGCCGCCGGTCGAGGCAGAGATTAAACTGAGATCCTCTGATGTCCAGAAAAGATGGAGTTAAACCATCACATTATCTTTACGTGATATATCATGAGGCGTCACGCTAAGAGTTGTGAATGACTCTCAGCTACTACCACAGCACGTTTCGGTTTATAAAACCAGTTTGTGCTGGCTAATGTTGATTAGCTGCGGCG